AATGCTTTAGAAGTTACCAAGTACTATTAAAAATAATGAGTAATCTGTGGATATTAGATATTTCAATTAATGTCAATCTTAAAAAATATTAGTTAATCAACAAAATTTTAAAGTAGAAAAAGACTCAGATTATAACTATTCATTGGCAAAAAATTTGCTTAGAGTTAAAAAACATTTTTTCCTTTATTCAAAAAGTCACCAAAATATTCAAATAAAATAACACATTAGATCACCCCTAAGTCAGTGCTTCCTAAATCTAAATCCATCAGATTAAAGGGGGTGGTTGTTCTCAGAGTAAACATCATTTTACTGTTGTATTAAAATTCTCTGAAGTCAAGTAACTAGCACAAGGAAACCTGGAGTGATTTCTCCTGAGTAATTACCCACCATCTGATGAAAATGACATTTTATTGAATGTAATTTATGCTGGCAACACAAAATATAAAGCACCCAATTCATTAAGCAGAAGACTAAGTGGAAAAGGCTGCAAGATCGCAGCAATGGTCAGACCAACACTGCTGGAATGTAGCCAGGAGACAGCTAGATTATGACTGACATTTGTAAACAGAGGTCTGACACAGGCCTGACCAATGGACTCACACCCACTCACAATGACGAGTATGAGCAACTGGTGGACAACAAAGATACTGGCATGTAATCCATCCACAGAGCAAAAGAAGAGTCTAGAATTCTGCTTCCAAAATCTGTTATTTCCAAGGAGTAAACTTCTAAAACATCAAAGGAAATAAAATCCAATAGCATAAGTTGAGGTTTCTCAAAACTTAAATATGATAAACATTAGCCTGAACTGTTTCCTTTAGAGTTTTCTTTGTGAATGTTTTATACCAATAAAAAGTGGTTTAATTATGCTAATTAAAATATGCTAAGTAAAGATAGAAAACTACCATCTGATGCAAATAAAAGACAGGATGCTGTTGATAATTTACTTTAGTGTAAAGATGCTGTTTTAGATCCTTCACGTTTGTTTTATTTCATGTACTTCAAGTTCAGCAGGTAATAATCACTAACATGATTTAATTTCTCATAAAAAAACTACTTTAAAGAAAAGTAGTGAGTGAAATAAAACTAGTTTAAAGAAAAGTAGTAAGTGAAATCAAGTCAGTAAATAAGTCAAATTTAGTCGGATAGGGCCTGATTAGATATTGGGAATGAATGGCTTAGTCACAAGTCATTACCATACCCTACCTCAGAGAGTCAAGCTGACCCAAAAGGTTAATGAGTAGATCCGCCTAACCAATCTAAAGAAAAATGCTTCAAGGGCTGACATTGGATCAGGGTTTCAATTAATTATAGAGATTCTAAATATGGTACCGGTCCAGGCTGAATTAATCTCTCTCTTGTCTATTTCTGTTATATAAGATCACTCCTCTGTCTGTGTAGAAAGGTGGTAGTGGTGTTTCAAGGCCCTCTACCTAAAACGTCAATCAGCAGGACACAAAGTATAGGGACCTATCTAAAGGCTCTGTGGCAGTCACTAGGAGGGAGGCATTCAACCCCACAAGCAGGCTACAAGTCCTCCTTAACTGCACTCTATTTCTGCCTGTGCGGATCCAGAGAAAAGATATGTAGTAAGACACACCCTTTATTCAGTAGTGTAAGGTCAACAGATCCATCACCAACTCTCTAACAGATTCCTACTTCAAAAGAGCAACACCTTGGGTCCTAGAGAAAGTCACTCTTAGTCCTCTGTCAGATTTACATTGCCAGCGGCAATCAGTGTGTCATGATACACTAGCACATGATACAAAGACATTAAAGTAGATTTTTAAAAACAGAGCCCCTTTCCCCTCATCACTGCTAGAGTTAACAAATCTGAGTAGGTGTGCATCACCAATTGTGAACACCTGTAATAGTCCCGGGGGGGACAGTGTTTGTGTGTAAGCACATTGGCCAACTTGCCAGTCACAATCAGCCAAGGGAGCTTTACACTGCCAGTTCCTGGGTTGAGAGGAAATTCTAAGGTGGTGAGTGTGAGAGTACTGGGAAGCTCTATCAGGGACCTCCCTGCAGGGCAGGTTTTATTAATCCACCGACACAAATTACATCCTGTGCTTAAAAACACTTAGTTATAAAATGCACATGAGGAATAACTATTTCAAAATATTTCTTCAAAAAAACATATCTTATTATGCAGTTACAAGAAAGAAAGTAAGTTATAAGAATGCAGACAGATATGATGCCTGGGAACATCACAGGAACCCTTCAGCCGTCACCACCACTAACCATGTGGAAATCCTTGCTAGTGGCTATTTCCTCCAAAGGCTAGGAAAAATCACATGGCTACTTCTCTAGGCAACAATGTTGTTACCTATTCAATTTCCTCAAAACCTATACCACCAATTGTAAGTAAGTTGTAAGCAGCCACCATACTGTCCTTTCTTGTCCTAACTTTGGTGGTTTTAAATGAACCAGGAGGATTTTACAGCAACTGCCCATTTGTTCCTAAAAGTCACAGGTTAGTATCAGCAACACATGAATTCACAGAAAATAACACATTTGTATCAAAGATACTCTCACTCCATTGGCAGGTATGACTTTTCGTAAGCCAAGCCCTGACTGCCAATGCTAAAATCTACAGGAATGCAAACCATCCAACACAGTCAAGGAGCCTAAGTGCAAGATTCCATAACTGCAAGAAGAGCCTGAAGATCACAGGATGCTCATGCTAAAGCTGTTTTCCTACATCAGGACAAAATCAGATTATGTTAATGGCTTCCTTGACCACACAATGATGTCAGAGCAATACACACTCAGCAGAAATTGTAGTCTGAGTTTTGAATTTTGTCCATTCTCCAGGCTAGATTCTGAGGCTGAGTGTCCGTGCAGCAGCAGCCCGAGAGCCCAGCCAGCTCATAGGAAAAGCTATTCTCGGTGAGTGTTGCTAAACTAGGGTTGCTAAGTTAGAAGGATTTAAATGCATTTTCTACTTACAATAGTTTATCAGTATGTAATCCCACCATCAGTTAGGAGCATCTGTACTGCAAGGAACACACAACAATGGCTACTTGACAAGATTCTGATTTTGAAAATCATTTTTTATCATTACTATGGAAAGGGAATGCAGAAACTGTCCTCCTGGGATTTCATCGAACAGGAAACGGAGAAGGGAGAAAGATAGATTGGTTTCCAAAAACAGTTTTCCCTTTACAATTCCTGTACACAAAAGAAAAGTGACAGGGCAGGAGCAGAGGTGGCTCTCCTCCACCCTGGACCCAGCTCCAGTGCAGGCAAACAGGATGGAAGCCTCCTCCATTTCATCATGCCCCAGGCTGATCTGTCTCCAATTCCAATCCCTTTCTCCTCATTCTACCAACATTCTCTTCTGCTGCTGAATCAGAGAGGCCTCTAGGACACTCATCCTCTGCAAGCACCCCTCCTGTAATCTGTAATATTTTCCTCGCCACTAGAGGGACCTCAGCCCCGTGCTCAGGTCTTGATTATCTGTACTGGGTGGGGACTGACAGAGAGAAAGTAGACACTAGATTTGAAGACACTTTCTCCATTTCTACTGACAGTCTACAATGAAGACCCAGGAAGATTAAATCTTCAGATTGTTTTAGCATTAAAATAGTGGTTTTAAAAATACTTTTACGTTTCCTTGGTGCTCTTGCTAAGGGTTCTTCACACTGATCCTGCATCCCTAGACTATGAAAGAGGAAATCAAGGTTGTGTGATATGCTGTCATCACTAGGTCAAGCAGTTCGAGAAGATGACCAAGAGGGCCTTTTTGAGCCTAAGAGGTCCTGCAAGAAGCAGCACATTTATGGTTTCTTATGTGACCTTCTAATCTAGTCTGTGCATCAGTTCCCAGAAGCATCACTATGTCATATTCTCGATGTGAGTATCTGCAACAAGTCTCTATTACCACAAAGCAAAGGCTTGTGAGTTACCCTCAGCCTGCTTTTGTACAGGGCTCATCTACAAATGGGTACATCAGCTCTGGCCAATCAGAGCTGTCTAGCACATTTCAGACAGCCTGGATGCTCTTGGCTGAGCTCAGTAATGTCACTCTGAAACCAGCCTGGACCCACCAAGCAGAGTTGTTTGGTACATAAGCTGTGTAGTTACATGTATATTCTCATCAAAACACTTCCAATTTCAGGGAGTGAAAGGCTATTAACATTTACCTTCTAGACATTCCAAAATAGGCCCAGAAAAACTAAACCTATAGACAGAAAGCAAACAATTTTACTCACCAAACCCTCATGTGAAGGCTACTTTCTCTAAGCAGGCTCTCAATTACTCACTGCTGGGCAATCAGGGTTCGTCTTTAAGACCTCCTGGTATCTGGAGCTGGATCAAGGTAAACCCTACTAACCTCCTCAGATCTAAGGTGCTTAGCAGCACTATATTAGTGGCTTTATACATGAATTCTAATTCCCAGTAGGAGCACCAAGGTTGACACTGCTCCCTGTACTGTGGAGAGCAAACTAAGGTTATGTCACCTGCTCAAGAGAAAAAAGAAGAAGAACCAGTGCTTCTTACAGGTTTAAATTTAAGTCCAATCCAGTCTAAGCTTCAAAGGCCTGAGTTGAAAATACTGAGCAAGTGACTGACTTTCTTTTCCAATGACGGGCTCTTTATGGTGGCTTACACCTTTAGTCCCAGCACCTGGGAGGCAGAAGCAGGCAGATCACTATGAGTTCCAGGGGAGCCTGGTCTATATAATGAGGTTCAGGACAAACACAGCTACATACAGAGTCCTTGTCTCAGGAAATCTATAGCAATATTGATGTAAAGTTTCAAGAGATAACTTTCCCCTCAGATTTCAGGAAAAACCAAAAATGCAACTCACAAGCATAAAATTAAAAAAACAAAAAAACCCCACAACATAATAGTTCTTAGTCCCTTCTGCAAATTAAAAAGCCTATGTCCTGTAGAGAAAGATGTTGATAACCCTCCCTGTGCTATCAGTAGCCTGCAGTAAGGCGGCTTTCTTTACCTTCCCCTCCTGTTGATTCTTTTGGGGCAGCACTTACCATAGTGAGATTGAAATGCCTGCGGTTTGACAACTTGGTTGCAGTCGTTACACACCACCAAGTAGAAATCATCGTGTGCGGGACAGAGACCAAAGATTGGCATATCTGCAACAGAGAAACACCGGCCCTCAGTTATCTGTCAGGACTGAAAGGAAGCAGTATCACAGAGCAGAACACATGGACAGCTCAAAGCCTAGCACAACTGAAAGAGAAATCAAACCGGGCTAATGGCCTTTATAGAGGTTGAAATACAAAGCACTGTTAGAATGAGGTATAAGAGAGCTATTAAAGTGTCAACGAGGAACACATTGACACAGTAAAGTGATCAAAGGGGAACTCAGCTGTGACTGAGAAACAACCTGCAAGAATATGAAATGTTTAATAATTCACAAAGCTACAGTAATGTTTTTATTTGCTTAAATATGCATTCTATTCCAGTCAGCTTGTCCCAAGTCCTATGGATCAGATAAGAAAGGTGCAAAGATATCAAAATTGGAATTACCACCATACCATACAAAGAAAATTGTTTTCTACTCCTTTTTAGGGCCCAATAACCTTTTATGTACTGGCACCACCAGACTTGAGCACAAATACGGATGTTCACACATTGACTGTAATTTGATCTTCAGAACAGGGAGGAGACAACTGTTATTGTTTTTGAATAGAACAGTTAAAACCAAACTATGAGCACATACATAAAAATTCAAAGTAATTTAATTTCTTGTAATGTGGTTAAATATAAAAGGGTCCAACCATTAGATATTGTTAATAATAACCTGTGAATCAACTCAGAGTTTAGATCCAGAATCCAAACTTATAAAAATATTTCAAAATTAACAATTTTAAGCAAGTATGTATGCTACACATAAACAGTATTTTTAATGAATGGGTAGATAGCATTTTTTAATTTAGCAAATATTTCAGCAGATCAAACTAAGGGAAGGCAGAAAAAGAGAGGTGTCTGTGGATGCAGCTCGGTGGAAGAACACTTACCTAGCCTGAGTGAGGTCCTGAGTTCAAAATCCCCCCGCCCAAATAAGTAATTAATAGAAAACAAATGTGGGAATAACTGGCCTCTTTACTATAGATTTAATTTCACAATCCCCACATAATAATACCAAAGGAGACGTCAGAAAATGATATCTAAACTATCAAATTGGCAATCTAATATTTACAAATGACTTTAACGTTTTCTTGAGAGTGTCTATTATAGTAAAATTGCACATAAATAGCTATAAATCTGAAATGTGCGAAGAACATGGTGATTCTGGGATGTAGGCACCTCACTGAGTAGCTAGCTCTCTGTCCTGTTTTCTCACTGCACTCTCATAGCTGCTCACATAGGTCCATTATGTCAAAACTCCACCAAAGACAACTGAGCTAGAGTCAAGGGCAGGGATCAACACTGATGCATACAACGGCTTGAACCTAAAACCAGAGAACGGTTTCTAGGCATTCCATCTAGATTCTAAAGTCAATCATTTGGATTATCAGGGCTAAATATCTTTTGATTACACAAACTGAACATACATTGTTTTCTGGTTTGATTTTTTTGGGGGGTGGGAGGGTTCGAGACAGGGTTTCTCTGTGTAGCCCTGGCTGTCCTGAAATTCACTCTGTAGACCAGGCTGGCCTCGAACTCAGAAATTCACCTGCCTCTGCCTCCCCAAGTGCTGGGGTTAAAGACATGTGCCACCACTGCCTGGCTTTTTTTTTTAAAAGTATGACTTTAAATACCAAATTAATGATTTTATTCATGAAAACAAGGCAATTAACTTTATTTAATAAATGAAGTTAAATACCATTTTAAAATGGCTGTAACTTCCTTTAACCTGTGCTGAGCTGTGTCTGTTGTGTCTTACTGTACTCAATAGTAGGCAGTGTTATATAATATATATGCTTTAGGCACAACAGCACATGTTGCAATCCCAGCACTTGGGAGGTTGAAGCAGGACGATGAGTTTATGGCAAGATGTTGCTTCAATAACCAAAATCAAACACAGCTAAACATACATTCAGATTCTTCTAGAGACTAACTCCATTACAAATTTAAACTCAAGGCAAAATGAACACACAGAACAGCCTGTCCAAACTGTATGGTGCTCTGAGAACAACACCCAGTAATGACAATGACGGGCACAATGACAATAACAACAAAGGAAAGAAAGGAAATGTCTGACAATATCTCACACATTAGGCATCAGCTTAACTGTCATCTCAAATGACCCTTCCTACCTCTTTGAAATTATCTACTCCATCACTGGTATCTTCAGCAAGGTGGCTAAGCGAACGGGCTGCTATCACTCTGACTCTTGGTTTTCTCAAAACAGATGTGACTGTGGGCAATTTCTGTGAGTTCTTCACTTGTTAAAAACTGACAATCACTGTGCCTCTCACACTGAATATCCATAAGGTGGATACATAAATACAGGCAACATCAGAAGGAAGCCTGGCCTTTGAAGAGCTCACTCAAGTCTTTTCTCAGTGTATGATATAGAAGTCACATACCACTGCTGTAGTGGACAGGAAGTAGTGGACAGGCTAGTACACAACAGAACCAAGCAAGATTTGAAATCAGGCCTGCTATACCTACTCACACTTCCAGTTCTCTTCCACAACCAACCCCCTCTCCCCTAAGCTATTCTCACTGCCAGGGCCCAAAGTCAGGGTCTGGTTGCCTCCATACCCAGACACCCAGAGAGTTCTGAGAGCCAGAGTTTCTCCCCTCCCCTGACTCCAGACCCAACAACCTATAAAGCAACTGCACCATACCCTTACTTGAAAACACACTCAGGCTCCCGAGTGGGTCTAACTCAGCATTCAGGCTAAAGAGTCTGCCCATTCGGTGAGATGGGTTCAGAACTCCATCAACGTGGCTGATTTCCCCACAATCCTACCTTTGGATCAGAACAGATACCTCTTCTCTTTCTTACAAAGGAATGGCTCCAATGCTTTCTGTCAGGATTCTATTTGTGCCATTTACATCTCCCACATAGCCTTCACACAGTCATTAAGATGGAAGACTAAAACATTATAAACAAACACTTCTACAACCCCGTTTGACAAAGGACTTGCCTTGTCTGCTCAGACTCAAGAATGACCTCTCAGTGTGTCTGTAAAATGGCTGCCATTTGTAATCTTTCTGTCCTTGGTTTAAGACTCTTGTTATCTGGCTTGTTAAACCTTTGCTCCTGGAGCCTGCTGTCATGGTACCCTGACACTAGCTGTTCCCTTTGCTTTATTTCATTTGTAGCCTCACCTTCCTGAAGACTTGTCTATAGCAATGTTCCTGTTACATGGTCCCGAGCACTGACTAGCCTTGCCCTACAGCACCAGAAGACATAATTTGCGTGTTTTTTTCCTCTGTCCTAGTAACTTGTTTAACAACAGCCATAGCCACTTTAACAATCAGAATGGTAGCCATTCTCAGTGATGACATCTCATGCTGGAGGATTACAATTTTTTTTTTATGTTATTTAACACCTGCTATACTTTGGTATAACATTTCAGTTAAAAAAAAAAAAGTTCAAGTTTGGTAAACTTCTTTTGAGCACACAATTCTACACCTAAACAGTTTCTGATTTTCAAATCTGCACACTGGGAAATCCTCTTTGGTGGCGTATCCAATGCAGTAATACTTAGGGCAGATTTGGAGTCAAAAGCACTTGGGTTAAAATTTCTACTGTTTCTCTATTGGCTAGACAACCACACAGTTAAAGCATTTAACCTCTGCAACCCTTTAAACCACAGCTAGGCTAAGGCAGGAGGATCACAAGTTTGAGATCAACCTGAGCAACTCAGTGAGAATCCCCATCTCAGAAATCCAGCTTTAAGTTAATCCCCATGAACCTCAGTTTCCTGATATATAAAACAGACTTCAAAGAATATTGATTTCATATTACTGTGAGGATTAAACAGAGTAATCTGTGGCGATCACTGGGTACCAAGCTAGAAAACTGTCAGAAATCTCACACAGCAGAAATGTCTGTTCTAAGGGCCCCAGCTCTCTTGGGATACTGATATGCACCACAGAGCAATGGCTATTTTGCAGTGTGAGCTGACCCCTACTGTTCCTGACTACACACTTATGTCCTGGAGGCCATATAGGGGACACCAGGGGAGACATGCCTAGGCTCCAGGTGCAAGGGCCAGTGACTCCACTGAAATTCAGAGAATCCAAGACTTTCAGCAGGGAAGCCACAGTCTAGAGAAGGGCACAAGTGTGTACCAACTGAAGCTGGTGGGTAGTCACCAAACTGCTAATGTAGAAATCTGAGAAGACAGCAAGAGGGTGAGTAAACCTGTAAGGAGGAGGTCAGGAGACGAAGGCAGATGAATGTTCCAGAGACAGTGCCTCAGCTCTTCCCACCTTTCATGCAGCTACTGCAGATGCAGAGATGGGCAATGAGACCCGGAAAGACTTAAGTGTCTTATAATAGCAGAGCACTGAGGGTTAAGATGAAATCTCCAGAGCCAAGTCAGACATGCTCAAATCCCAGCCCGTGACTTCCTAACCTGTATTCATACAAAAACATAAGAAGAAAACACGTAGGACAGTGGCTGCCTCACAGCATATGCTGTAGAAGACTGTAGGTTTTCATCTTCCTCACTACTGTCCTTGGTTTTTGCATTAAAGTGGCTGTGCTGACCTGGGCCCATTCTTCTCCTGCCCCCCAATCTCCTCCAGAAATGAGAATGAGACCTAAGATCATAAATAGTCCTTGGCCCAATTAAACCTCCTACTGGATTGCAAATAGTATGAAAACCAGAGTTTGGAAAGCCTTATAATGCCTACGGCCTTAAGACATGGCAGACATCTCCTACATGTGTCTGTCTGCATCTCCCTTACCTCCACAACCCCCATTTCAGCATTCTGGTGCTCTGAAGCTTCCAGACCCACCTCAGGTCCTTCACTAGTTTGGTTCCCTCCAAATGGAATGCTTGACATAGGTAGTTTCGGGCCTCAGTTTGTACTTCTCTAGATAATCCTTCCCTCACCTCTAACTTGAGGTAAGCTCCTATCTTTTCAGACAAGTCTCTCCCTTCACTCATTAGGCAATCTCATTTAAGACATAAATACCAGGAGACCAGAGCTTAGTACCTGA